ATTTATGTTTAACCTGTTGATCTTCAAAAACATTTTCTTTTCTTAAGAGAAAAATAAAATTGCTCATGATGTTATTACTAAGCTGACAGGATAAGAGAATTTTGAAAAAGTAGGATGATTACAGCTCACTTGAAGAAATTACACAGTTAATAAAGATGCTGTTGTTGTGAATAGAAGTTACTGAAGCTGGCTATGACTTGATAAGATGTGAAACCTATTAAGTCAAATTGAATTTTTAAAATGAACTAATAAATCACCTCACAGTACACCTTAATCACATTAACTGATATCTTTTGGCAAGGTGACTCAGAAAACAGAGTCAATGTGAAATATTAAGCCTAGAGACCTGAATGATATTTAGGAGATCTTAATGTGGATCCACAAATTAAAAATTTGGTGCAAATGTTAGCCTAGCAGTCTCTAGACGTTGTCAGTTTAATTTTTTTGGATCAGATTCTGATTTTCTATCCAGGTAAAAAGGAGAAAATGCTTTATTTCAGTCAGATCATAGCTTTTCTGGTATAGTTAGTAGTAATATAAGATTATTCAACTTTATTCTAGAAGTTAAAAGACTTCAGAGATCAGAAAATTTTTAACTGAGTGTGGTAAGGTTCTGGTATAGGCTGCCTGGAGAAATTGCGGTCGCCCCAGTCCTGGAGGTGAGGCTGGATGGAGCCCTGGGCAACCTGATCTAGTGCATGATTTAGTGGTTGGCAACCCTGCCCACAGTGGAGGACTTGGTACTGGATGATCTTTGAGATACCTTCCAACTCAAGCCATTCTATGGTTCTGTGACAGTCCTCTCAGCCATGATATTTACCTACAAGATCTGCCCCTCTCCAAAGAGCACAGCTCTGCAATATTATGATTAGCTGTATCAGCTGGCACAAAATATACTTGGGCAATGATGTGTTGTGAAAAGGATCTAATGAGGTCATGGAAGTTTATAATCTGACCTGCTGTAAAAGAATATGACTCTGCACATTGACCCTCTTCATACTATACCTAAACGTGGATGTAATTGTTACAGATAGCAAACTTTTGAAATCAGAGCTGTGAAATCATAGTATGTATCTAGCACTGATCCACAGAGAAGTGAAGAGAGGTCTTTTCAGCCCACATGGAAGAGTCCAGGAACTGCAAGAAAGCATACTGAGCAGAAGATCTGCATTTGAAAATCCAAAGTAATGAAATGTCTGTGGATGAAGTAGTTTTGACTAAGTCACATCACCTGACAGCTGGGAACAACTTGTAGTGCATTGATTTCCAAAGTCTCTTCTGCCTCTCCATTCATTCATCAAAATGACAATATTGTATTGCATGGCTTTAGGTCAGGTAACCAACACAATTGATTTCACCTGCGTATTTTTGACAACATCACTTATTTCCCTTAGTACTACCACCTGAGATGTATTTGAAGGGGATCGATGTGACTAGCCTCAGTAGAGAGATCTGAAATTAAAGGAGATGAAAATGCTGCTGCTTTTTATCAAACTGGAAAGAGAATGGTGAGCTTGATGTGAAGGTGACAAGGTAGAAGCAGCTCAATTTTTGTGTTGTTCAAGAAAATGGAATGAAGTCACTCACCAGAACAAGGATACAGATGGCATAAAGTAAGTCTGATACAGAGGCAGAAGCAGCCCAGGAGTGCCGTGTTTACCTACCAAGCCGTATTTTCCTCAAACTCCAGATTCAAGACTGCTGTAAAGAAAGCAGGTCTCTGTGAAACCCTGCTGATAAAATGTGTCGACAGCAGTGCCAAAGAACAGGACAAAAACAATGCTCAGTTAAGAGAAGTTATTCATAGTCTGTGGAGGTTATGCAACAGACACAGGAAGTTTTTAGTACTAGCTTGCCATGCCTTGTTCATCTGGCTCCAAACGTGTCAGCTGTAGTCTATATTTTGTGTTTTAATACAGACTAAAGAGACAGTGAAAGCTGGAGGGAGAACTTGGTTTCATATTTTTCAAACCCACTCTCTCTTTCTGTTGCATTAACATAAAAAGCAGAATTTTGCGTGCAATCCTGCAAAGTGCTGAGTACTCTCTTTTTGAGAGTACTCTTCCCAGAATAGGCCTTATTTTTAAGCATAGGCAAGATTTGTTAAGGAGCACTGATTTCCCCGTGGATTTTCATGGATTTAAAAAAAAAAGCTAGTATAAGAAGCAATTTAGATGAAGTAAAAGAATTGGAATTTGCCATGCTACTGTATTGCTTCTGTTTTACACCTTGGTCATTTCCTTTACAAATGATTAATTAGGCTCCAGTGATTAGATTAGGCAAATGTGCTGACTCAGAGCTTAATAAAAACATATGAAGAAATTAAAGGGAAAAGACATAGTAAATAAGTAATACATTTTACAGTGAGCTTATTTTTGCTAGGTCAAGGTAATAAGTCTCTTAACCTACACTAACTGCATGTAAAGTATGACTGCAAAATAACCTTGGAAATCTTTCAGAAGTTCAGACTAATGCACAGAAACAGGATTCATTATGCCTCCAAAATTATTTTGTGCACTGAATTACTCACAGTGAAATCTGTTGACAGAAAATGTATTTTCAAGATTTAGACCATAAAGTGCGAAGTAGTAGTAACTTAGGTCTTCAGATCAAGAAACAAGGAAAAAACATTGACCTTGTCACCACTGAGAGGTCCTTCAAATTCTATCTAAGCATCAATGTCCATGTGTTTCTCATGCCTTTCATTTTTCCAGTAGAAAGGGCTGGGACATTATGCAGTGGCCCATCTTCCTCAGAAATATGAGTACATATTCAAAGCACCTAGCTAGAGATGTCCCAACGACCAATTCATTAATTACCTCCTGAAAGGTTTCCCTGTCTCTCTTCTCATCCCGAGTGGTAGGGCACACATCTCCAGAGCATAACTGACATGATTCTGACCTATGTCTGGCCATGCAGGATTGACTTTATTGATGATACAAAGCATGTTTTATAGGCTGTACCTGTTTAAGACCAGTTTATTGGCAAAACAGGTGAGAATATATAGGCTTCTTGACTTGCTGACTTATCATCTTTGACTGGTAGGCTGGCAATACTGCCAAGAAAGAAAAAGGAATCATTCATATTCTGTTTTTTTGGTGGTTGTTTTTTTTTCTATTTTTTTTTTTTTTCCCCCTGGACATTTAATTAGAAAGAAGCATGTGCAGAATTTGGTAACATTCCTTACACCTTGTCTGTAATTTCAATGGGTCAAGTGTTCCTTGGAAGGCCATGCCCATCATCTCCATTTCATCCTCGGTACATATGGCAGTCAGCAGCAATGATTAAACCTAAACAGTTATTTATCACAAAACAAGGATCAGGAAATTTCTGAAGGTTTGGTTGTTTAAGAAAAAAAAAGACCAAGATTTAGATGCAGGTTCTCAAATTCAGTTAAATATACTGAAGGACCTCAGCAGGATATCTTGTAGGAGATTTTCAATGGGAATAGTGAAGTCACAGAATGGTTGATGAAAATAACATAGAGATGATTGAGGGGCAGTTTACAACTGTCTTTCTTATTCCAGGAAATTTTTGAGACTTAGGGAAAAACAAACTACAAAACCACAAAAAGAAATCCAGAAAATTGAAGACTGTAGGTCCTGGCATCACACCAGAAAAGATTAATACATGGCAATGAAAGTGAAATTTGAAATATTAAACACCCTAAGATACATTTATTCAGATTTGAGCCATTTATTTTCATGTGATTCATTCACATTTCTTAAGGTAATTTGGACAAACATGGAGCTTTCAGGTGGAAAAACACTCATGACGATTTCTACAGATTCAAACTTTAAAAAAAATAATACAGTTCATAATGGGCAGTGAATTGAGAACTACATCTTTCTTGCAAGTGCCTTTATTTTAATGAATCTGCATTTTCTGTGGAAAAATTTAAAAAACTTCAGCCATTCCTAGTCATAAAACATACAAGATAAAAACCTACTCCTCTTACGGATATGACAGCTCAGAAAATGATTGTGACTCAGGATTACCTCTGTTTTTAAGGTCAGGCTGAAATTCTGAAATGCTCAGAAAATTAGTTCCTTGACATCTCTGAAGCATTTGGAATCAACTTACAGTTTTGAAAATACAGGCCACCGCATACATGATAAAATGAGAACCCAAAGTATTTCATTCACATAAAGCAAGACACTGCTTCCAATACAGTACATAGGTTACCTCCTATTTATTTCCGTGGACACTACGGAAATAAATAACAATAAGAAGAGCACAATAACACTATTTGATACAGCAAATTCTCAGCTACAGAACACTATTTTGCAGCACAGTCATCTCCAATAGCTGTACATTTTTGCCAGTGATGAATAAAGGCCTGCATGCTGCATTCATAAAAACTGGCACCAGCGGCAGTTACCCACTACTGCTGTCACCACTGCTGAAATGCACCACCCACCTCGTCACTGCACTCACATCCCCTGGTTGGTCTCCTAAACGTTCAGCAAGTGTCAATGAAAGGCAATAGGTGGCACTTTTTTTCTCATGGAAGAATTCAGTGACAACTTTCTGCTTCATACAGGCTTCCATGTCAGACACCATTTTGTCAGACTGCCCCCCTGCTACCATTTGTCACACAGCAACAAAATGTAAAGTGATATTGGTGAGGAGGTTCAGCCTGTAATGCTATAGCACCAACATCCACTCCTGATGTTGTGGGATATCAAAAAACAGGAGGCATTACTTTCTGAGCAGCCCTTATATAAGTTGCTGAATCATACCAATCCTATTTTATGACAACATAAAATGATCAGTCTGATATTTTCCACAGTTAATATAATTTCACTATCACTCCTTTTCCTTCTCTGGAAAGCTAATAAATGACGATACGCATTTTTGATGACACTGCATTTCTGTTATTTATCAAATGACCTCTAATATTTCAGTTGCCTTTATCAGTTACCTTGAAAAATCAATATCTGTGAGAGATTTCAATATGCACAGCAAACTATATAAGCATGAGGTCTGTATTGCCGGCCTCAATTTGTTACTTCAAACCATCTGACTTAGAGGTTACTCTTAAACCCTCTCGTCATTTCACTGCTATCTGATTTGCAGGATTCATAGGCTTAAGCAAACATGTCCAACCTCAGTGAGGCAGAACTCATTCACAAGTTTAAGGGGATTTCCTTTACCTCCAGGTCTTCTCCAGAGCTTTTAAATTCCTTGGATGCTTTTGATGCTAGAGAAGATGATGTCCTTTTGATTTCCTACCCCAAATCTGGTAAGTTCTAATTCTATATGTTAACTCCAAGATGTGTCAATAGTTCGTTTCATGTTCTCTCTAAACTTACTTGTGAAATGTCTGTAAAAATAAACAAATAGGCAAGGATGTTTGAATATGTGCATATGTTATTCTCTCAGTCAGTATTGAAATAACAAAACAAATTAAAAAAAAAAAACAAACAAAACCAACAAACTAAAGCAAGTGCAACGACAAAAAAAAAAAAACACTATTTGTTTAAATGTTGGTTCTGTAATACAGAATATTGTCAGATGTTTTATGTGTCAGAAGCAAATAAGTATTTGTTTATTGTAAGTAAAATCTATACTCAAAGAATTTTCCTGAGGCCTTTATGCATTTAATTATGAGCAGGTGAAGAGGTGTATTAAGTGATTTTTATGGCTCTTGACTGTAAATACTTCTTCCTTCTCTCCCCAATTCTCTCACAGGCAGAAACTCATACCAGGGTGGAAGCTCAATTAGTTATCTTCCCAGTAGCCACAGTTACTATAATGAATCCTTCCATCCATCCCTAAAAGACAGATTATTTAAAAATAAACAACAGAAATAATATAATCACCTCAGCTAACAAGGAGTCTGAATTTTATTCCATTTATCTAATGAGTTTGTTTTGATACAAACATCAGTGATTTTCAGAGAGTTTGTAATTCAGCCACAACAATTTTTCCAGTGTTGGATCTAGAGCCAACAGAGTACTCAATTACACAGTTTCTTGAATCTTGGGGTTTAGCAAACTGTTCTCACATGCAGACTGCATGTTCCATATAATTTCTCATTAAAAAATCTTCCTTCCTTTCTCTTCTTCTTTCTTTTTTTTCCTTAAAACTAATTTCCTGAAGGCACTCACTGGCTTGCAGGAGTCATAACAAAGCTTTACAATACTCCCGTTACATTAACAACTCCCATTGAACTTGGAGACATGTCCAAACTGGAGGAACTGAATCAACTGTCGTCAAAGAGAATCATTCCAACACACTTAGACTACAACATGTTGCCTCAACATTTTAAGAATAAAAAATGCAAGGTAAGTCAAAAAGTTACAAAAGCTGTAAGATATATTAAATGTCTGTTAGGCATCTATTCTGTCTTGTTGATCCTTAGACACTTTAAAATGACTTACGGTTTCCAGAGGTGGTTTACTGTGTACATGAGAGGCTCATAAAAATCAGCTCTGGGCCTCAGATTTTATGTTAGAAGTTCTAAGTTTCAGGATTATCCAAATCCAACAGTAATAACCATTTTGTCTTCATTTACAGATGATCTATATCAGCAGAAATCCAAAAGATACTGCAGTGTCCATGTATCATTACTACCGAGAGAATCCAAACCTTCCCACTGTAGATACCTGGACTGCTTTCCTTGACTTGTTCTTAAAAGGAGATGGTAAGGATAGGTGTTCCGTTTTCTTCCTTCAGCTCATATTACTATTATTAATATTCTATTATTATTCTAAACAGAAATAGTTAAGAAATATTAATTTTGTGAAACTCCTAATTCACATATCTTCAGATTTATTATTTTTCCACGATAAATTATAATGCTAAACAATGAGCAAGTAATAGGAAAATGTCTTCAGCCTTTCAAGGATGTATTTTGACAGGTGGCTGCAGACTGGTGTTTGAAGATGCCAAGAGGGCAATATATGGCTTAGTATCCTGCAGAAGGGCAGGTGGCACACATATGAAGGTTGTCTCCAAGGCTGCTCAGAGAGCCTAAGTTTACAGGCTTAGTGCCTTCATCTTGAGAGTGGTCTTGCATGACCCTTCAAAGGGAGTCTAGACGCTTTCATATGCACCTCTGAACACACTCTACCTGATATGTTGTCTTAGTCCTGGAGTCCAAAGACCAAGGACATGAGTGACATTTGTGTGAGTGGCAGAAGTGGTAAGGAAACTGACAACAGGACTATATTCTAGTTATCCACTCCCACTTTTAGTGTTTTATTACTCCTTTGAGGACATGTGCTCCTACCCACAGTGATGATAACAGCAACAATGATAGACGAGCTTGAAAAATATCAAAGCAAACTGCCAGGGCAGTCCTTGTCAGCTTATATCAAGGCTCCAGAAATCAGTCTGTATTTTCTACTGATTTGTGGATCCTGTGTTCCTTGTTCAGAGCAGCCCTAAGACACATGCTTCGGTGATGTGCAGGATCTTTGCTTGTTTAGTAGCAACCTTGAACATCAATTAGTTAAAAAAAGAAGAGGATAGTACAACATTTTAAAAGCATCTCCCATTTGCCTGTGAATTGATAGTCTTCTGCTGTTTTCAGTGTGCTTATGCATGGTACAAAAAGATAACTATGTTGGTTACAACATAGATTTACGTAAGAGGTGATACTGGGAGAGAGGTTGTGATTTTTGCTCTTAATTGAAACATACAAAGATTGTGTTGCTTGGCTCGGATCCTGCAGTATAATTGCAGAGTTAAGAGAGAACAGAGTTAAGTTGAGAACAATGGTGAGGACACCCAGAGAAAAGGGATGTTGTCTCCAAAACTGTCTGCTGTACCCCCAAAGTCAAAAGGGTCTCTGAGTTTCAGGTATTGGAAGCAGGATGGCTCACCCCTATAGCATGAACCCCACAGAGTAATAGCTCAAGAACATCAAGAACAGCAGAGACAATAGAGACAATAGTGGTCTTATAACCTAAGAGCTTACAGGACCTAAAAGTCATCGTTCCTTTTTTTTTTTTTTTTTTTAAATAGGCAATCTTAGTTTCTTTGGACATTTGTCCTAATAAATAGGTTATCACCCTGATAGAAACAGGAAAGAAAAGCAGCAGATATACCCCAAATCTATGTGCAGACTCTTTGACTCTGGAAGCCTGCCCATTTCTTAGGACTGGGCACTTGCACAGATGTGGGTTAAGGGGAAGCAGGTGCATTTGTTGAACACATTCCCAGTGGGCTTTAGCAGGCTTTAATTGCACACTGTGGTGCACTGGTGCTCTGCAATTAGACGGTTTTCTGGCTACAGGCTGAAGCATTCAGCAAAATACCTAACACGTCTCAAGGTTTGCAAACAAAATGATGTCCTTTACGATACTTAAATATTTTACTTTTATGGTAAAAGTATCAAGCAAGGTCACAGTTCACTATTGCTCTGTCCATGAAGTGCTCATTATCCTGGAGGAGGCTTTCAGCTCATTCATCAATGCAGTCAGCCTTGTCTTTGAACCAGAAGAGCCAGAATTGCTTTTGTAAAAATAAAGCTGAAATTTAGCTGTCTTCCTATTATTCAGTAAAGGGAGCATTCAGACAAAGCAAGTATTGTGTGTCAATTATAAAGCCATGAGTTACCTGTGTGGTTGGTTGACTGATGTATTTATAATAAATATTTTTTCTATCAATTCTTCCTTGACTTTTGAAAATATACATATTTCTTCTTTGCTAGAGCAATAGTGTGCTCCATTTAACAGACTCCTAATTTTGTTTTAGTGTCGTACTTACAACACATTCATTTCCTAGTTTATTTTCCTAGGTTTTTATTATTATTATTTTGACCATGGATCTACAGATATACTTGCTGAGATGCTCAGATCTTGTTGTGCCCATACAATTGCCTTCACTACAGGCCTGTCCCTAGATTTGGATTTATTTCTACTGTGGCACTATGTTCCATAATAATCTGTCACTTTGATATTAAAAAAAAAAAAATCAAACAGGAATGGTAATTTCTTTGGGCTGTAAATTTGAATCCCTTCACAAAAAAGAATTTAATCAGATTTAGAGGAACATAGGGTACATATAAAGAAGGAAGCATTCCCCTAAAAATTTGTGAGATATGGAATTATTTACTAATCAAGCATACATGAATCTCTATGGGTTTTCTTTTCAGTTGTCTGTGGATCCTGGTTTGACCATTTCCTAAGTTGGGAAGAACATAAAAATGACAAAAATATACTGTTTTTGTTCTATGAAGACATGAAAAAGGTAAATATGCACTCTGTTCCTGTTTTAGAATGAATTGTTGATAAATAGAAATAATCAAAATATCAAGGAGGAAATTCTAATGAAAATAATAATTTCCATGTCAAAGGAAAGTCTAATTATCACCTCAGAAATATATAAACTTTATTCTTCACTTTATTCTTCCTGTATCTCAGAATCTCCCAAAGATTGTGAAGGAAATCAGCATATTCCTGGGTATAAGCATCAGTGATGAAGATATCCAAGATATCTGCAAGAAATCATCCTTCTCAGAGATGAAAAAGGACACAGAAAAAGAAAACAGTGACCCCAGTCACACCGTCTGTGCCCTGACATCCAACAGGAAGCTAATTTTCCGAAAAGGTAAGTTTACTGTCCTGACAATATAGAATCATCAACTGGCACCTATCCAACAGAAGCCTAGATAGATTTGAAGACATTTAGAGTCACTCCCAGGAAACAGCAATTGGATTCTCCAATTCGAAGCCTTTTGAAAAAACATTCACTAAGATCTTCAGTTGAAAATGCATGCTTATGCCAGAGAAACATAGCATATGTTCTTATGAGGGGTTCTGAAGAGTTTGCTCTATATGAGCTTTGGAGCTTAAAGGGAAGTTCACAGAACATTACTCTTTATCTGCATTTTTGTATCTAAAGTTTACCCTCAGTCTCTCGCAAGCCTCTGTGTGTCTCCTCTCAAATTACCAGTCAAGGTCACTTGGTCTGCTAGAATGGAAAAGGTGCATTTCTTAGGAAGGAGTCTGCTGGCAGCCTTTATCCTCTGTACTCCCTGTTATCTTACTGAAATGTTCCCCCCAAAAAGAAACATGCTGACAATGACAACAAAAGAATGAATGACTCAAATCATCCTGTGACCTCACAGATCACCTTAAGCTCTTGGCCAAACTGGGATCTGCAGTAAAACCTTCAGCAGTTCGTAGCTCATATGTGACTTAAAAAACATGCAGAGGAACTGTTTTCTTGCTACTGGGGGTTTTATATGCTGACAAGGGTGAGATGAATTTCAGCTAGCAACTATTTGCCTCTACTAAAGAGGTCCAGATAGAGATTTTTAACGGCAAACATCTAAGATGAGGCAAGATGCCGCTGCTGAGATGAGCAAGAGCTCTATTTCCATCCTGAAAACCTGTTACTCTTCATTGTTTCTCTTAGTATTGCTGGCACTGCCAGGTGACACATTATGAGAAACAAGCCTTAGGGCTTAATATGGATGATGATTCAGCTTCTCCCATCAAAATCTCACCAAATCAATAAAATAATTACTCATAATCATGACCTATCACGACATATCACAGAGACTATGGTTGATAATACAATAACAATTTGTGCCAAGTGCAGCATTAATAAAACTGGTCTGCCTTTGATTTGTTTCATTGCTATATATTGCCAGATTCACTGTTCTTTTACTGTCTCTGCTCCTCCAGGTACTGTTGGTGACTGGAAGAACCATTTCACTCCAAAACAGAACTTACAGTTTGATGAAGTATTCAGTGAGAAAATGAAACTCAGCAAAATGGCAAAACATCTCACCTATGAATTCTAAATTCATGGGAAGAACAATACTTAACCAAAAATGCAGATAGAGAAATTTTGGGAAAATCTGGATGAGAGCTAAAAGAAGTTCAAAGAAAAACAGCTGCTCTTGGAACTAATTCCATGAAGATGGAAGAAGCACTGACCACGTTCATTTACCTTGTTTACATACATTTATCTTACCCATCAGCCTTACTTTTCACATAGTCAAATGATAGAAATGTGAAGAAGGCTTGTAAAATAGAGGTTTGGGGACAGGAAATTCTGGCACAATGCTGGAACTGAACTCAATCAGAGGACATATTTACATGGTTTTATAGCCAGGTGTCAGACCTTTTTTTTTTTTACAACTAAATCTACTTCAACATTTATTTATTTTTTGCTCTAGGTGTATACAAATGGACTTCTTGGATCAGGTTTAAAAATTTTACCTAAATATTAAGAAAAAAAATCCTGTAATAATCTGTATGTCTAAAAGCACATCATAAAAAATGACTATTTAACCCTAGACTGAACCCCTTTCTCATCTATTGTGATTTGGAAAGTGCCTATTTTATCAGACTTTGTTACTGATGCTAGAACTGAAAAATGTAGCAGTACATTTGAAGATTTGCAGTTAAGTTTGTGTATAAAATTTTGGTTTGTTTTGTTTGATTTGCTTGTTGTTTTCTGTAACAGTATATGCTTCTCTGTTGTAACTTATTTCTCTGTTAGATATTGTATAATATCTGTATTTTAAATGAAACTAATATAAATCCATGCAGATTTCAGCACTGTATGTTTTTTCACTCAGCTTTCTTCTTGAAAAATGCCTATTTCCAGTGTTTTGATGAAACCATTTTATTTCACAGCCCTTGTTCAGTAGAATACAGTAGTTTCACTGTGGCAAACAGAGCAGAATATGGAGTCACTTTAAAGCAAACAAGACATGTTTACCCAGCCCCGATAAGACAGGTATTTTAAGAATCAGCTGTCTGTGTTCACATCTAAGGACTGTTCTGGGAACAGCGTGAAGACATTTCTTCTAATTTACTGAGTGATGTGGTTTCTGTCTGCGCCTTCAATTTGCTTTGCAGGCTAGCGTTAAGTACTCTGCTCCCTAACCAGCTCTCACCAACTACATAATTCCCAGCAAAAACTGTCTGAAAAGAAACTCGTGCAGACAAGCACTGTTACTTTGCTCCGATTCCTCTGTGCTTTCCTTTGGATGAGCTGTTTCTGAAAAGTTGTGGTAAGACCTTATTAACAGTGAACAATTCACGCTTTCTCTAGACACACAGCTCTTTCAATTCACACCTTGTTCGCAGAAGGTAACATCAATACTGACTGGTGTGCATCTGCATGAATGATACAGGTAGTTACATGCTGAGGACATAAGTGAGAGGTAAGCCTATTTAGCAACACTCCATTTCCATATATGAGTTCAACCCAATTCAAGGCAGATGCTGCTCTGAGCTCTGTTTTATGCTAACCACACATTTGGAAACCAGAAGCTTGTTTGTGCTGCTTTGCTTCTCTGATACTAAAATCTCTCTCTTGTTAAAATGTCATGAACAATTATTATCCTTGGATGCCTTTCAGGTGTCCTTCTTCCACTATTAATAAATGGAAAGAGATCAGCTAATGTAGATGTGTTTATTAACTGAGTACGGCAATGATTCTAAACGTCACACAACATTTGAGGAAAGAGAATAACAATGTTGGTAGGACTTCTGAAACAAAGACAAAGGACTACAGAAGCCTTTCCCTCATCTGAATTCAAGATCTACTCGAAAAGTAGACTCACACAGTTAACTGAAGGGAAGGAAAGCAACAGAGAAGTGAAGGAAGGCTTTTGATTTGGGCTGGCAGAATGAGGCAGTAGGAGGCACACTGATTTATACAGCTTTACATAGCATCCATGTATGTGCTCACAATATCATACTGTCCAGAAAGGGACAGAATGGACATGACATCTGGATTAGAGAGAGGGCTAAAGCATACAGCCCTGAACTGGCTGAAGGGATGCCATTATCACAGAATCACAGAATCACAGAATCATAGGGGTTGGAAGGGACCTCCAGAGATCGAGTCCAACCCCCTGCCAAAGCAGGTTCCCTACAGCAGGTCGCACAGGTAGGCATCCAGGTGGGTCTTGAATACCTCCAGTGAAGGAAACTCCACAGCCTTCCTGCCCTGGGCAGCCTGTTCCAGTGCTCCGTCACCTCACTGTAAAGAAGTTCTTGCGCACATTTGTGCAGAACTTCCTATGCTGCACTTTCTGGTTGTTCCCCCTTGTCCTGCCTCCACGCATTGCTGAAAACAGTCTGGCCTCACCACTCTGCCCCCCACACCTTAGATATTTATAGACCTGGATCAGGTCCCTTCTCCGTCTTCTTTTCTCAAGGTTAAACAGACCCATTTCACTTACCCTTTCTTCATAGCAGAGATGCTCCAGGCCCTTCACCATCTTTGTGGCCCTCCGCTGGACTCTTTCTAAGAGATCCCTGTCTTTTTTGTACTGGGGAGCCCAGAACTGGACGCAGTACTCTAGATGAGGCCTTACCAGGGCAGAGTAGAGGGGGAGGATCACCTCCCTCGACCTGCTGGCCACGCTCTTTTTAATGCATCCCAGGATGCCATTGGCCTTTTTGGCCACAAGGGCACACTGCTGGCTCATGGCCAACCTGTCGTCCACCAGGACACCCAGGTCCCTCTCCACAGAGCTCCTCTCCAGCAGCTCATCCCCCCAGCCTGTATTGGTGCCTGCAATTATTCCTCTCCAGATGCAAGTCTCCAGCCCAAACTGCTTGGGATTGCCCTGACCCAGGTGAAGGCCCTTGCACTCAGTGGGTACATGCACTGGGTTTAGACAAGGCAGAGATGCTCAGAGGGTCAAACTGTGTATTTGTACCTGTTTGTCATCTAGAAAAGTAAACATGGTGGACAACAAAGAATTTCCATGCGATTTTCCTCACAATCAACAGATAGATGAGGGAAAAGATTCAGACACAAATCACAAAGAGCCAAGGACACTCTAGCTGTGAAGACTACTGGGGATAAGAAGGGAAGGAATCAAGCCTTACAGAAAGGGCCAAGCGTGGGGATGAAGGTTGCTGCTGAATGAAGACACTCAGAGAGGGAGGAAAAGACTGTTCAAAGCCACATCTCTCCCACCAGTTCCAGCCTCGCAGGTGACCACAGACAGCTTTCTTTCTTGACACAACCAACCACTACGAGAGATAATTCAGCAGTAACTTTCCTAGTGGCTTTGGTAGAAGACAGTCCTCATTTTTTTCCCCGGCCCTGCCTGCCCCAGCGGACAGGCCGTAACACGGCACAGTGACTGGACGGGCTGTGCTGGGAACAGGCGGAGCATGGGGGAGCGGCGGCACCTTGTGGCCCGGAGAGCACCGACAGCTGCTCGAGGAAAAGCCACAGCGACGGGAAAGCGCGGAGTCACGAATTACACTGCCGTGCCTCTTTTGAAGGCTTACTGGTTCCACACGCCAGCGCTGAGTGGAGAAATAGCCTTCTTGGAAACCGCTTGCAGCCCCTGAGTGCTTGATAGGTGTCTGCTCCAGCATGGGCTCTGCAGCCGTCCATCCAGCAAGCTCTGCCGGCCAGAGGGGAACGCAGCATTTGTTCTTCACTGACATCTGTCGACTGCAGTGACTTAGTTGCAAACCCCTGCACCAGGATGCATTTGCACAGAGCTCCATGAAGCTCAAAAGCAGAAACGAACTGTGATGGGAACCAGGCACAAGTCTGAGGGGAGCAGGCCAGTCAGTTTCCAGGTACTCAGTGACTCAGTCCTTAAGCACAGCCTGCTTACAACGTCCTTGTTTCTGATTGCCATGTCTGCAAGATTGCCATGTCTGGGGATGGTCAGTCTTTAACCACTGAGAATCTATGCAGAGTGGTGGGGGTATGACAAACTGTAGGCATGTAAGCAAATATTAATGGCCAAGGGAAATAAAAGCAGATTTTCCCTTTCTGTCTGCAAGACTTTGCATTGTAACAAAGAATAACTGGGGTCTGTTTTTTTTTGTCATTTATGACCTTGGTGAACTACCTCGACTAATGCAACAGCCAGGTGGTGTCACTGCTATTCAATTGCAGCTGCTTGCCTGCTGCTTAAGGGGGATGAGGAATTAGTTGCAGCATTGCCTGCTGGATAAATTTACCTACCTTACAATAAAAAAATGGCACAGTAAGATTTCATTGGCAGGTGAATGAAGTGCAGCATGAAGCCAGCTCGTGTATCACTGCTAGCCAAGCTCAGACACCAATGACAGCAACTTAGCTGGAGCAGCCTAGACTGAGTAACCTTGCTTCTTGACAGAGGCATCAGTAACCTGCAGCATACTGTGCAAGGCACAGATCCATTTAGCTTGTTATTCTCTATATTGTCAGTGTCAGCAGCCTTACCTTGAAAGCCCCCAACTCTCTTAACTTCCATTATAAATCAAATGCGGTGCTCTCTAAACACACAAGGAAGAAACCTGGGGAGCCTTACTCTTCTATTAGCTGCAAGGTGCTTACTGGCAAGATGATAAAAACCTGGCTGTGTATTAAGCAAACCAAAGCAAGAAGTGAAAAAACAGCATGGCTTGCTGTCAGCTCAGTTTTTTTTACAAGACTGCAGAAAGAAACAACTATGTAGATGTGCAGATGTGGCAAGCTAGAACTAGAATTTGTTTGCAAGTGATCAAATTCAGCTAAAGAACCCTTCATACTCTGGTCTTATTCAAGTGTAGCTCCATATCCTTTAAGAAAACACACAGAGGCATTCATAGAATCAAACCCAAAAACAGATCACAATAAATGCTTTGAAGAAATCCATAGGTTTATTAAGTGAAATGAGTGGAAACTTTTTATATCCATTTACATCATTAATCCATCCCATTCACAAGCTTTTTGGACCTGGCTTCATCCATCCAATCAGTTGCACCACCTTGGCTGGGCATCACTGATAAAAAAGATCCATTGGTATCATGTCCCCTTCCAAGCTAAGGCTGCATTGCTGTGGGTAAGATGTAAGAAGGGAAAAAAGCTGGGGGAATAAAAGTAGCTAAGCTCTTAAGTGGATTACAACAACAACCATGCTCTCTCAGGAGATGTAACTCTTCACTATCTGTACAATTTCAATGTGAGTAACCATGCTAGGTCAGATGTCTGTCAGCTTAAACTAGAAACTTGTCTGCAAGTGTACATGAACAAATAGGACAAGCACATGATATTCTCCTGAATGTTTTTCCAACCTCCAATTACGTTTTGTTTGAGAACTTCCTGTGCAATTTACCGTGTCTATGACTGATGGATCCCAATTTAGCTGATGTCATCCCATTCTTACAGTTTCTGTGTTCAATTTTGCTTTATTAAGTTGTTTTGAAGATTAGATTATTGATACCTGGTAGTGATAGTAATGCCATGTTCTTTTCCTTACTGTGTCAGAGGTGCATACTGTTACTTCAGAATGAACCATACTGTGATACTGTGAACCATACCATAATACATACTGTGAAATAAGAATAAAAATGCACCTGGGAGCCTCCCACACAAGGAACAAGAGGAAGAAACCAAGGTTCAGAATCTGAGGAAACATATCGTGTTTCAGACACATGGACAAAAGCTGTTTGAAATGTGCTGAGGATTACTAAGTTTCTGAAAGCCACATCCAGCTTCAGAGATCCATGAGCTGCAGATGTTTGGAGATCATGGGAAAACTAGAAAGAGCTGGCAATAACACAACATGGCAAATTTGAGTTTCTTGGGCATTTACTTTTGG